CTATATATGAAAGGAGAGGGTAACAGGCAAGAGAAAATACAGCCCATCTTCTCCAAAAACAAGTAGATTTACATGATGACCATTAATCTAGCCAGAACACAGTAAAATGTGGATTTTTAGGAAATGTTCAATGAAACGAAAGAAAGAAAATAGATCAGCTCTTAACCTCTAAATTGATTTCATGGTACAGAAACTGATATTATTAAAATTATAGGACAAAAAAATCCCGCAGATATTGAAGTGATATGATGAACATATTTAAAAGAAAGATTTAAGAGAAATATTTAAAAGAAAGATTTACTCTAACTTCCTAATTATTATAGAAAATAATATTGCTTGAGAACCAAGACTCACAGGTAATAGTGTGGCCATTAGATTTAGTTATCCCCCATATTTTCTTTTTCAGTATTATAACATTATAATGAAACATCTTTGTAAATGAACCTTTTTTCTGAATGTTCACTTATTTTCTTAGAATATATTCCTAGAAGTGGAATTGCTAGGTTAAAGGATTTGACCTTGTAAAGATTTGGCAGATACTTGGCAATTGCCAAATTGCTATCCAAATAGCAACGCCCACATTTTATCATTAAACAATTTTTTCTAGCATTTTGTCATTTAAAAAATCTTTATGAATTATGCAAAATACTCTTCATGATTTTTACTATTATTGAGGTGAATATATTAATGTTTTAATAGCTATTTATAACTTCATTTCTGTAAAGTTTGTTCACGCCTTTTGCTATGCTTCATATTAACAACTTTCTTTAAAATTTTATGATCAACTTATAAAGTAAGATTATAAAACTTTTCATGCCATATTTGTAGCAATATTTTTTAAGTTTGTATTTAAATGTTATTGATGATAGGTTGATATGCTTTATTTTTACACAAAATGATGAATTCTCATTATAAAAATTCCCAAATATTTAATGTTGGAAATAAACAAGTAGTCACAAAATAATACAAGCAAGTCTGTTTATGAGGATATGAAGTTCAGAAATAAACAACAATGAAGTGATGTTTAAAGACGTACATATATGACATGTAAAACTTCCCAAAGGAGAGAATGATTAATGCGAAATTCAGTACAGTGTTGCCTCTGTGGGGAGAGTTTGGGCGAAGCAAGCAGGAGGCTTCTGGGGAGCTGCCAGTGTTCTACTTTGCCTAGCTAGTGAGAAGACAGGCATTGGTGGTGCTGCTTTTAAATTATGTTTTTTTAAATACTAATTATACAATTTATTTCAAAGTTCTAAAAGCAAAAAGAAGGTTGAAGAAGTTAAGTAAAGAATGGTATTGAATGTGGCATTTTAGAGGACTATATTAGTTTGCTACGGCTGCCATAACAAAGTACCACATACTGATAGCTTAAATAACAGAAATTTTATTTTCTCACAATCCCAGAGGGTAGAAGCCCAAGATCAAGGTATCGGCAGGGTTGGTTTCTTCTGAGTCCTCTCTTCTCGGCTCACAGATGGCTGTTTTCTCTGGGTTCTCACATGGTTTTCCCTGTATTTATGTCTGCATTCTAATTTCCTCGACTTAGGGCTCAGTCTAATGACTTTATCTTAACTTGATTACCTCTTTAAAGACCCTATCCCAAATACAGTCACATTCTGAGGAATTGGGGGTTAGGACTTCAACATACGAATTTTGCAGGGAACAAAATTCAGCCATAAGAGGGTCATGCTAATTTCGAGAAAGCAGCTTGCATAAAAGAGTATGGGTGAACGTCTTATTTCTCTAAGCAACCTTCATAGAGCTTACATTCTAAGGGGGAGAAGTAAAATGAACAAATAGATATATAACAGTGCAAACCATTTTGTCAGATAGTGGTAATGTCTGATGGTGGCTGAAGAAAGCACAGCAGGAGAACTGGGTAAGGGGTGATGGAAGAGAGTGAGTGGGGAAAAGGGCTGGCTCCGACAAGTTGCTTCCAGAAAAGAGAATAAAGTGAGGAAATGGTCTATGCAGTCATCTGGAGGGAAGGAAAAATATTCTCGCCAGAACAAAAAAGCACTTTTGGATGCTCAAAGAACAGCAAGGATACCAGTGTGGCTGGGGCCAAGCAAGCCACAAGGAGAAAGAATAAAGTAAGGCTGAAGAGGTAGGTGGAATCCAAATCAGAGAGGGGGTTCCTGGTTGTGGTTAAGGACTTTGGATTTCTTTCTAGATGTGATAAGCAGCCATTGAAACATCTTAAAGTGGGAAGTGACATGGCAGATTCGTATTTCACAATACAGCATTTCAGCTATTCTTTAGAGGGAAGTAGAAATCTTGTGAATGGTGAGGGAAATCTCTGTGAATTTCTGGAAATAGGGAAAGCAGTTAGGAGCCCAGTTGTGATAGTCCAGTCAAAAGATGAAGTCAGCGTTGTCTAGTGCAGCAAGTAAGAGCCGAAGGAGTCAGAAGTAGTTATTATATCCAGGATTTATTTGAAAGATGACCCAACAGTATTTTCTGATGATTTGATGAAAGAGGATTTGGCATAACTCTAAGGATTTAGATTGAACAGCAGTATCATTAACTGAAATAACCAACAGGATCATGCACAGAAACAAAATCATCTGCTGAAAATAGATGATTAGAGAAAGTAAGGAGTAGTCAAATTTTGACATGCTGAATTTAATATGCCATTAGACATCCAGGTGGAGATAAATGAAAAAAAGATCATCTAGCAAAGCTGAGAAACCAGCTGAGATTAGATGACATAAATTTGTCAGAGAACCAACCTGCATAATTGTATAATTTTATTTGCAATGCATACCAGCCTGGATGCAGAAATGGAGACAGCAGATTTTTGTTGGTATTGCTCAAAGTTGGCAAATTGCATGGTTAATATAATAGGAAATTAAGGGCCGGCCCGGTGGCGCACTGCTACAGTGCGCCGCTTGGGAAGTGCGGCGGCGCTCCCGCCAAGGGTTCGGATCCCACATACAGACCGGCCGCTCACTGGCTGAGCGAGGTGCGGGCGCAACACCGAGGGTTGCGATCCCGTTTCCGGTCCCGGTCCGGTACGGGCGCGACACTGAGGGTTGCGATCCGTTGCTGGTCACGAAAAAAGACAAAAAGAAAAAAATAAAAAAATAATAGGAAATTAAAGAAAACAAGGATTCATTACTTCTAGTTTAAGAGTAATTTAGATCGCTGAACAGGGATTATGTATCTATTAGAATATTTTCAGATGTCAGTAACAAACCCTCAACTCAAAATTGCATAAGGAAAAGGTGGCTTTTAGGCCTCGTGGAAAATCAGTGCATCAAATATGTAATCAAGGAACAGTCTTTTCCCCATCTCCATGTAAGAGGTGTATCAGCTTCATTCTGAGGCTTGTCTTCTCTGTGGTTGCAAGAGGTTGCAGCAGTGTTAGGAATTACTGCATACAGACCCTATAATGTCTAAGAAAGAAAAGGACCTGTCTCTTTTGAAACTCCATCTTAAAATGAAGGACCTTTCCCTGAAGCCCCTCAGAAAACTTTTTCCTTAATGGTTAGAACTGGGTCACAAGTCTAAACAGAAATATTCTAAACCAGTAGAATGGCATTTCTGTGATTGCCCAAAGTGATCAAGATTTACCGCTGATCTGACAATGAGAAAACTTTCCTTAAGGGTGAATATTTAAACAAAAAATAAAGTGTATTAGCAAAGAAGCAGAGAGGAAAAGATTTCTGCTTAATATTCAAAGTTAAATAGTAAGGTAAATAAACATAGATATAGGATATATACTTAGAGAAAAGGAAGGAAAGGAAATTAGGTCAAAGAGCAGCTTCATAGAAACGCAAAGGAAGAGGTATGGAGAGTTATAGAAAGGCTAGAAAGTTAGCTTCAAAAGATGGGATTATTTTCTATTTAAGCAATAAGGAATGGACAATGAATGTAAGTGCTGAGATTACCACGAGGATTCACAATGTCGAGCAAGTTACAATGGATTATGTCAATTAATTAATTCTAGAGAACTTTGACCCAAATAAAGTCAGTAAACACAGATTTATTCCTTAAAAAAAATATATATTTGTTCCTACCACTGTCAAAGAATATTTAAGGAGGCAAGTAGAGAGGAATATTTAAGGAATAGTTTAAGACACTACTGCCATAGGAAAATTATAAATATTTTTGTTTTGTTTACTATTTTAGATTTGATATTCCACAACATTGAAATCTGTGAGGTGATCCCTTCTCCTCAAAAGCTGCATTTAGTGGTGTATTTGTATTCTAAATTTAGAAAGTTATACTAGGAGGGTAGAATCTAGAAAGAATCCTGCTAAAGGAATTAAATTGGAACCTAGAATGAAAGAGACCCCCATATATAGTCAGTGTTCTGAAAAAGAGGGTAAGAAATTAAAGGAATTTATCATTTTTGGAGATAATACATTGAAGAAGTTTCAGAAACTGAACCAATGTCCCTAAGGGAAATTCAAAGATGGGCTTCATTTTTCTAAAAGATCAGCAAAATTCCAATTTTACTAAATAGTAAACTGTTTTGTTCACCTTGGTTGCATAACACCAAGCTTTGAGGAATTTAGTTGTAAAGTTTCAACGAATTTTATGATGAGTCATAATATTTTGCATCAATAAATTGGTTATGAGAAAATGGATAATTTTGTACAATTGTATATCATATACATATAATTGTAATTATTATTAAGCTCAATTTTGCATTTTTCTATGAATGTTGATATATTCATGGCATAAAAAGTTATGTTATGTCTTTGGTACACTCAAATGGATTGAAAACATCTTATCTTCTTCCTATGTACGGATAGTAACATAAATGTACCTCTCCTCAAATCATAAGATATTACTTTTATTCTCTCTTGAAATAAGAACAACAAATAAGGGAATTAAAACAATCAGATTATCTTGAATTGATATATACATCAACCATCAAAACACCATTTCAAATTTTATTTTCCTTTGGAACAGTACAGGCTGTGTTGAAATTTATAACCCTCTTGGAAAAAATAAAGACAATTCTCTGTGTTAAGAAAGGAAGGTGGGTTTTAGATATTCCCTCCTGAGGTTTGACACTTATCCACTGTAACATAAATATGAAAACAATTTAGAAAAGAAAATGAGTTTGTCACTGTTAAAAATAAAACCCTAGAAATTTTTCACAAATAGAACTGGAAACCATTAATGCTATAATAAGAGGGAATATAAAACACTCAAACTAGAAAGTGATATGTCAACATATTAAAATGGTCCATTTGATACCACATTAGGGACCAGCTTTAGTGATTTATGAAGGAACATTTAGGTCTCAAAGTACTTCCCATCACTGGTAAGGCCAGAAGCCAGGCCTCTCAGTAGATTATTCACCATATGAAAAGCCATTAAACAAAGCCAATGACATTCCAGAGTCAGTTTTTTGTAGACACCTTCTGCAAAGTGAGCCACACCAAAAGAAAATAAATAGTTTAGGACATATTTCAAGAGTATGAATTCCTCCATCCAGTAGTCTTTCTTCTATTACTCTCTATAGGAGGGCCTGCATACTTGATTCTCATATCTTTTTCTTAAAAATGGCTTCAAAAGTAAATTACTAGTCTTGGGTCACACAGCTTTGAGAAGCAGGAAGAGTGAACGGTACTGTAGGTTACAGAGCACTCGGGAAGAGTAAGGGTGTTGTAGCTTACAGAAGACTGGCTCCAAATACTCTTAGCAGATGGGCCTGGAGGTTGTGAATTCTTAAGATGTCAATATCTGTATAGAGGATCCTTCCAATATCCTGGCCTTTTAATTTGTTTACCTCCTCTTTGCTGATGATCTTGTCCTCTGCCCTGCCTCAGCCACCCTCTCATGATAACAATCCAGACAGGGGTTCACAGATGGAATGTGAATTAGAATTTGAGGGGTCCTTGAAATTTGGATGGGAAAAGATGACACTGTAAATTTTACTAGTTTCTAACATTCCTTCAAATATGAATTTGGGCAACAAATCACAGTCACTGATAATAATCACAGATATTCTTATATCACATTTCAACTGTTCAAATATTGCTTCTTCAAAAATATTTTTAGACCTGCTCCTAGATCTTGTTATTTAATGTGTTAATAAGCACACTATTTCAATGTGTTCATAAACAGGTATTTGGGTTTTTTTTGATATTTTTATAAATGTATGTCAATATAATAGTTTTACTTTTAACTGTATAAATTGTGTTTTATTCATGTAAACATCTTATTCCCAGTATTGGCAGAGTCACAAACCATTAAAGAAGTCCATGACACAACAAAAGGTTAAGAACCCCTGCAAATCATGATACCACTAATAACTAATTTTTTTTTTTTTTGACTGGTAAGGGGATCGTAACCCTTCGCTTGGTGTTGTCTGCACCACGCTCAGCCAGTGAGTGCACCGGCCATCCCTATGTAGGATCCGAACATGTGGCCTTGGCGCTACCAGCGCTGCACTCTCCCAAGTGAGCCACGGGGCCAGCCCTAATAACTGTAATTTTTTTTTTAAATTTTTTAAATCATAATTTAAGCATTCTATTCTATGAACTTTTCTCTTTTCGGTTTATTCCCTGAAATTTTTTCTGAATTCCAATAGTTCCACCCTCCCCCACCCAGACTTACCACTGTTCCCATCACTTATATTTCTACGCCTCCTTTCCCCTCATGTCCTCAGTTTCTTCCTTAAACTTCAGCTCAGATCCCATGGTCCAGAATTAAAAGCACTGCCTTATAACCTTGCCGCACTCTCCCTTTGTGCTCCTCACATTTCCAAACTCTGGTTAAATGCAACCTTTCACAGATTGTGCGCCCACATGCAGGCAGAACACCATGGGTTTCCACCAAGACCTCCCCATTTTCCCCAGTCTCCAGCATTTACCTCACCAGCACCATCTGCCTGGAGACCTTCAGGTCTAATCTCCTTATGTCCTTATGTCTTGTCTATGACAGTCACCTAAAGAAGTCCAGGACTCAGATCAATACAGCTCCAGCTGCCCTGTTACTGACTCCATCTCTGTCCCTACTTAGCTCTTAAAACCCTCCCACTCTGCCCTCTGGAGCTCGTTGTCAGTCATCAGTAAAGTCTCCTGTAACTTCCAACTCGGTGCTGAATGTTTCCTTCACCTTCTTACTTGATCTGAAACCTTGCTCTCCCCAATGACATTGCTCCTCCTGCAGTCTATTCAAAAGTGAGGGGTAGGTGTCTTCCTTGCTACTTGTCACTTCCATGGTATCCTATTTTGCTCTTGCCCAAAAAGCCCTGCTTGGAATCTCATACCATCAGCCTCTTCCCCCCAGTTCCCATTCTTGTTGAAGTTTTCTACTAACCTCCTGGGTCACTCCTACTCCTTCTTTGAAGGCTTTACTGTTCAATCACTGTCTCTCTCTCCACATAAATTCTTTCATACTTGTTGGTGATTTCAATATACTATGCGCCTAGGTGATCCTTACATTACTCTGTCCTCTCAGTTCCTTGAAACACCTCCTCTTATTTATGTTGTCTCTCACAGTGTTCCCCCCTAACCTTTATCATCACTGTCTTCATAATCTCCTTCCTTCTGGTCTCTAACCACCTCCTATCTCTCCTCTCACTCCTAGTCCTCAGACTCTTGAAATTTTTTGACCCACCAGAAACCAAAAGCCATTAATCTTACTGCTTTTTCTATGTCCCTTACCTTACTCCTGTCCTCAATTTTTCAATGACCTTGC